TTGCGGTCATCGGAAGCCCGCCCCTCTGGGGGCGTGGCTTGCGATCATCGCAAGTACGATCTGCCTATGCAAGATAGGCAGATTGTACGTTTTTGTAAGTACCTTACAACCATCGCAAGACAAAAGTCTTGCGATGGTTGTAAGGTGTGTGCCCAGCCTAGGTCTGTTTATGTCTTTTAGATATACACTGGGAAGAGGTCAACTTTATGCAAACCATCTTATCCGTGCGTGTCAATATTTGAAAAGCTTTGCTTTGTGTATCATTTGCAATTGCCTGTGCACCTGGGGCATCCTTTTCATGCTCTTTATGTCTCTGCTGATTGAAAACAAGAAATTGTCCACGGCATTATTTGGGAGATAGAGACGGCGAGAAGATGTGATCTTGGCTGCTTGTGCTGGTATTATGGAACAGAGTTTTTTTTTTAATCCATGTATAGAAACTCCAAATAATAGTGTAAATTAGCAATGCTGAAATAAATTCTAAAGAAAAGTACACTATAGAGAGGACTAAAGGTCCCCACACACCTTACGATAATCGTACGATAATCGCGGGAAATCCCGCGATCGTACGATTATCGTAAGGTGTGTGGAAGCCGTGCGACCTCTACTACTGTAAGGTCGCACGACTTTTAACTTACGGACATGTTCGAAAACCCGCCGAGCATCGTACGATGTTCGGCGGGTTTGTGGCAAGTCCGTACGATAAAAGCCGTACGGGCCAGTGTGCGCAAGCGCACACTGCCCGTTCAGCATTGCGGTCATCGGAAGCCCGCCCCTCTGGGGGCGTGGCTTGCGATCATCGCAAGTACGATCTGCCTATGCAAGATAGGCAGATTGTACGTTTTTGTAAGTACCTTACAACCATCGCAAGACAAAAGTCTTGCGATGGTTGTAAGGTGTGTGCCCAGCCTAATAGATGGTTTGAGCATCACATAAGGCCCCATTCACACTGAGCTACAACATAATAAGCTCTTTTTCACCGCTGATTTGCGCTGAGCGACATTGAGCTACAGTGCACATTTTGTCGCGCTAGGTAGCGCTTCTTTTGGCAGTCTATCTAAGACTATTGGGGCCAAATCGCACAAAATCCGCCGAAAAATAGGTCATGTTCGAGCGACAAGCTACAGGCGACATTGAGCTGTGAGATGTGAACAGGTTCATTGAAATGCATTGGAAGAGCTACATTGTGCTTCATATTTGAGCGGAAATTGCGCTACAAATTGCTCAGTGTGAATGGGGTCTGAACAACGTTTGAATAAACATGTGACATTTCTCTGCAAACTGCTCTCTCAGTTTTGCACAGGAGTTCCTCCAGATTCCCCATTGCACCTGGAGTCATTTCTACTCCTTCATGTCCTTCAAGTCTTGGCCTGTGTTTCGGACCCCTACCAGCACCCTATCATTAGTCTCTGTTAACACACCAATCCAGATGTGCCAGCACAAATTGAGGAAGAACGTAATGCAGGTCCAGTGTGTGTAAAAGCAGGGGAAACCCTTTCATGTCAGTGTCTCTATGACCTTGTACAAATAACAATTTTATTCTACTTCATCACATCCAAGTGACCTTCACACAGTTTTGGGAGATTTATGAAACTTTTATATTTGAATCAATGTAATGCAATGCCTTTTTATTATTATACATTGAAAAAGTGGGCATTTACATTGAATTTGTAGACTGAAACTGAAAATAAAAAATGTGTCAGGCTGAAACCTTACTATTCATTCATTCAAACGGGGGGCGGCATCTGGGTGCCCCCTTAATTAAAGGGGTACACCAATGAAAATAAGCTCCTCTGCCCGCAGACCCCCGCAACCACTGGGTCAGGGTTGTGGGGAAGAGGCCATTGGGGCCCCAATGACGAGTGCACGTGGCCTGGTATTGGGGGGCTCAATTGTCCCCCTCCTTCCCTGCCCTGCCTGTGCTCGTATCAAGGGTCTGGTATGAATTTTAGGGGGGACCCCATGTTTTGTTCCCCCCATTTTGTGGAGGTGGGGTTCCCTCTTAAAATTCCTACCAGACCTAAAGGGCCTGGTATGTCTTTTGGGGTAGACCCCACAGACCTTTTTTTTATTTTTAACTAGAGGTGGTCCCTCCTAACATTCCTACCAGACCTAAAGGGTTTGGAATGAATCGGGAAAGGAACCTTACACTCTTTTTTTTTCTACGGGCTGTACAAAAAAAAAAAAAGTCTTTTTTTTTTTAAGTCTAATGTCACTTTGTTGCAACGAAAATTCATTCATAACGAAAATGTAAAAACCCTGAATACTGTTTACCAGGAATGTGAGCGGACATGGCGCAAAGTGAGTTTGCCCAAGCCGACGCAAAACTGTCAATGAAATATCCCCCTCCCAGTCCAATCAGCTGCAGCCAGGGCATTCCCAGTTCCACATCTACACGTAACAATGGGGTGGGGTATGCCCTGCAACAGCAGATTGAGCCGGGAGGGGGGATGTCACTGACACTTTTGTGTGGACTTGGGCTCAGTTCTCTTACAGGGCATGCTTATTGTGACACACCTTTTCACCTAGACAAGCTGTATATACAAAACAAAGAGGACTGTGAGGCCCGGTTCACACCTGGGCGTTTTGTAGCGCGTTCTTACGCTCTGCAAAACGCTCAAACACTGAAATCCCATTCTTTCCTATGGGTATGGTTCACACCTGGGCGTATTACAGGCCGCATGAACGCGCTACAAAACGCCCTACGCCCGAAGAAGTACAGGAGCTTCTTTGGGACGTTTTTGTTTTGTTGCGCGTTCCCATTGGGATACAGCCAGGAAATGCGCGACAAACGCGCATATTCGATATGCCTATGTGTGAACTGGGCCTAACCTGAACGAGAAGACTGCTACAATACATTTGCAGGGCTTGTCACCTGAGCAATTGAAAAACCAGTTAGAGAGGCAAAACAAGCCAGTGAAAAGGGCCAATTGACATTTGCGTGGTGCATTAACTTGCATTGCTTTAAAGGAGAACTGTGAGGTGAGTGATTTCCACTCACCTCATAGTTCTAGCCGACCTTTGACAATGAGACTGTCACAGGTCGGCTCAGTAGATCGGGAGGTGAGCGAACACATACCGGGTTCCCTCACCTCTCGATCCTGTCACGGCTCTCTGCCGTCACAGGGGAGGGGGCTGGATTCCCCTCTCCCCGCTCCGATCTGCCAGCGCTGACTGGCGGAACGGACGGGGGAGGGGGCGGGTACAGCTGGCTCTGCCTCTAGATAGGCAGAGCCAGCTGTCACTCACGCACCTGGTCGGATCTCGACGTCCATGTCGGGATCCGCTCCGGGTGCGGCGTCTCAGTATACCGCAAGCTGCAGCTCGCGGTATACTGAGCTTAGGGTAACGGGAGGACGCTAGTTTGCGTCCTCCCGTTACCCTAAGGAGAACTATGGGGAAAAATACTGACCCCATAGTTCTCCTTTAAGGCAGCCTATTCATTATGAGATCCAAATCCCAGCTGGGTGTTGTGGTAATGGATGTTATACTCGTTGCTGCAAGGCGGGGCCATTTATTTTGAACTGCGGTGTGTTGGTATCCCACCCAAGCAAAACAAATGGTTTTTGTGCGGTGTCCCACCCAAGGCACATTTACATTTGCGGTACAAGAGTGTGATTCAGCCCTCGGGGCTCGTTCACACCGAGTGCATTAAGCTGCATTGATTGACGTAGAAGCAACGCAAGGACATGGCAAATACTATTATCTGCCCAGGTCACACCAACGCACCTTGTCGGTGTGCTCTGAGAAGAAATGTAGGCATAGTGTGCACAGAAACACGTTACCTCATGAACCCGTCCATCACAATGTACTGCACCACACACAATGACAGGCACCTTCCTTCTAAAGGAAAACATCTTTATAGTGCCTCATTACTGCCTTTCAGTTATAGGTCTGCAGACGAGTGATGAAAGTTGTGCCTGACGCACCATCACTCCAATTAGTTCCCCGCCCCTCAGCTATACGTCACACAGGTGCAGAGAATGCCTCCCGCTGCAATCGCTGTGTGATGTCATGGAGCCGCTGCAATCGCTGTGTGATGTCATGGAGCCGCTGCAATCTCTGTGTGATGTCATGAAGCCGCTGCAATCGATGTGTGATGTCATGGAGCCGCTGCAAAGGTACACAGTGTGATGTAATGGAGCCGCTGCAAAGGTACACAGTGTGATGTAATTGAGCCGCTGCAAAGGTACACAGTGTGATGTAATGGAGCTGGTGCAAAGGTACACAGTGTGATGTAATGGAGCCGCTGCAAAGGTACACAGTGTGAGGTAATGGAGCCGGTGCAAGGTACACAGTGTGATGTAATGGAGCCGCTGCAAAGGTACAGTGTGACGTCATGGAGCCGGTACGAGGAGGTACACAGTGTGACGTAATGGAGCTGGTGCGAGGAGGTACAATGTGTCCATAATAGAAGTCACCAGCACTCCATGATATGTGTATATAAGTAAAGCACTTTTAATTCAATCGTCACATGCGTCAAACAGCCAACGTTTCTGGGCCACGCAGGGTCCCTTCTTCTGGGCGACATAGTGACTGTATCTGACACGGCGCCATCCGTGTTGTCACTTCAAGCAGCAACCTCTTACTCAAGGTCTGTACGCTGCATGGAGTGCAGGTGATTTGGTATTATCGAGGTACAATGTGTGACGTCATGGAGCCGGTGTGAGAAGGTAGCAGACATGTGTCCTGTGCCTCTTATCCCCCCTTCCTCCACCCCTGTTGTATATGGTCGGGCTCCCCCCTCACCTGCTGCTGCTTCGTCTACAACATGAGTGACATAAACCTCACACAAGATTTCGTTCCCTCCTTCCAGCGCTGTCAAGAAAAGACAGAGAGGAAGTCGGGGAGGGGCCGGCCGGCATCCAGTTACTGAGAGTGATGATTAGAAGGCATTGAAGTACAGCAGCAGGCTGGAGCAAGTGACACTCCGGGCTCATCTCTTGGTCTCGGGACACTGGGCAGGACAGGAGAGACAACCCGCGGGCGGTATACCGGGCTGACATGTTACACGACCCCAGCCATAGTTTCTGTTTCCTCAGGACTCCGAAGTGTGTGCTCAGCCCATAATAAGGAAGAAGGTGCAAGTAACGTGACCGAGGGGAAAGGGCAGCGGCGGGGTCCGGAGACCGTCCTCCTATAGACCGCTGTGTCCCGGCTATGTGAGATGAGGTGCAGGAATGGCAGTCTGGTGACCGTATTGCTTTTGGCTGCTTTTTGCTCCTGGTCCTGGTACACGGCATGGTACAGAGACAAAGGTAAGGGATCGCCTGGAGCATGGTGACCTGTGCAGAGCAGTGTGGATGTGTGATATGGATGGCTTTGATCTGCCAATGTCGGCAGGTGTGTGGAGGATGAAGAGGACCTGTCTGTTACGAGTGTACAGGTGATAATGGGGCCCCTGGAATCACTGGGGACTATTGTATTCAAACAGCACTGTTCAGCCAAGAATTTCCAGACCGGCTACTTCCACTAGTCTCCAGCCAGATGGGGTCCACGGGGCCACATCCAGCCCATAACAATGGATTGCGTAACATCCCTATAGACCAGAGGTAGGCAACCTGAGCACTCCAGCTGTTGTGGAACTACAAGTCCCATGAGGCATTGCCAGACTGACAGTTATGACAGCTTGACACCCAGAGGCAAAGGCATGATGGGATTTGTAGTTTTGCCACAGCTGGTGTGTCGATTGTTGCCCGCCGCTGCTATAAGCGGGCATGTGCCTGCGTATGTCTGCCCACTTTTCATCCGTCAGATTGGGCACAAAAAAGATTTGCCCAGGTCTGCGTTCACTGACCAAACGTGGCAGATGTAGGCGGACGCCGTTCATTTTACCATCCAGACGCCCATAGGGATTACAGGAGTCTGTTTGTTTCCCTGTCAACAGAAAGGGACACAGATGTCTCCATTGTGACAGAGATGGAATGGACAGCGCCCGTGTGAAAGATGCCTTAGGCTGGCCATACACGTCTACAGTTCTCTCATTTAGCCTGCAGGCTGACCAGAGACAATCACTCCACTCCCTATCTGAACCATAAACAACGTGGATGGAGGAATCTCCCCTGAGGGCTATTGTGTTCAGACAACCGCGGCACCCACGGCTGACTGCATACACAAACCGTGACTGCATCTGATAGGGTGTGCTTATTGTTACATTGCACTAGAACCTCTGAAAGCCAATGCTTGCCAAGTACCCCTAGTGTAGGTCACCTGACCTCTACTACGCAATGACCTGGCCACATTTTTACCAGTACTCTGTAATGATGTATCATTTTCTGTGCTCTTTGTTATATCCTTAGATGGCTAAATATAAAGTGTATCTGGCTTTTTTTAAAAATATAGTAGGGAAGGGTTAAAACTAGGGATGCGGTATTGGTGCTGATGCAGAGAATTTGGGTGAGTACTCGTTCTTGCCCAAATGCTCCGATGCCCAGCCCAATACCCGAGCTTCCGGTGTCCGGCAAGTCATTACATGCTGCCGGCTTCCTGATTGGCTGGGAAGCCAGCTCCATGCTCCCTTGTGACGAGGGCGCATAGAGCCAGCTTACCAGCCAATCAGGAAGCCGGGCAGTGTGTAATGACCCGCTGCCCAGTTTCCTGATTGGTCGGGAAGCGGGCCAATCAGGAAGCCGGGCGCCGTGTAATGACGCCGCGCCCAGCACTCTGAGTGGCTGGGAAGCTGGCTTTATGCGCCCTTGTCACCTCGTGACGAGGGAGCATGGAGCTGGCTTCCCGGCTAATCAGGAAGCCGGACGCTGCGTCACTACACAGCTTCCGGATTGGCCAGAAAGCCTGCACCATGCTTCTCGTCATTTAGTGACGAGAAGCATGGAGATGGCTTCCCTGCTAATAGAGAAGCCGGGTGGCGAGTCTTTTACACACCGCTCGGCTTCCCGGCTAATCAGGAAGCCAGGTGGCAAGTCATTACACGCTGCCTGGCTTCCTTAACCTCCCTGGTGGTATTCCCGAGTGTGGCTCGGGGTTAATTTTCATTACCAAAAGCGGTAACCCCGAGCCCCACTCGGGATTACACAGCGCGTTACTTACCTTGTCCACGATCCCCGCTGTGTCCTCCAGCATCCGTCCTGCGGGTTCCTTCCCTTGCGAGCATCCGCGTCGCATGAGGGCGGAACTGGCGGGAAATTTAAAAGTAAAAAATAGAAAAAAAAAATAGGACCGTGATGGAGGCTCCGGTATTGGTATTCGGTATCGGCGAATACCGGAATTTTTTTTTATCGGTACTCGATACAGAAAATCCAGTATCAGTGCATGCCTAGGTAAAACCCCTGTCAAGTAATTTTGTGGGCTGTCTGTGTACCATTGGGGAAATTTCCTGTCACTACCTGTCTCAGGGACACGGCAGGAAGTGAGAGGAAAACTTCCAAAGTGAAAGGATTCGCTTTTCACACGGTCCAATCCGTAAGAGATCAGTGCTGATTGGAATGGATGTGTCCATCCAGTGTTTTCCTCAATCCTGGGATGGAGGAAATCACCAGACCCCCACCTCTGTCTATGGGGAATCAGATTTAAAGTGACTCATTTATGTCCATTTCCATCAGATTTCCAGCAAAACAGAACTCTGATACATTTGTTTTTCCGGAGCTGGCCGGAGTCGGGGGTAACCAGGTGTACACGGGCGCCCGTCCATTTGGATCCGGCTGTCCATAGACTTAACATTGGGCATCTGATCGGGTTCTCCTGAAAAGCTGACAGACGGACCTGATCGGGAAGCCCATGTGACAGGCTCTTAGATAGTTGTCTCATGTACATGACAGCCAGGAGCCGGCCATTTCAAATGCTACCAGCTGTTCCTGCAGCATAGATCTTGTTCTAACCACTTGAGGTCCAGGGCATACAGATACGTCCTATGGTCCTGAACTGGTTAATATGTGTGGTCTGGTCGGTGAGCTTTTGGAGCTCTCCTCACCACTGGGTACCGGCTGCAGGGGTCTGTGTTCCCTCCAATCCCTGCTGGGGGCAGCGGGAATCAGAGGGGACACAGAGCCCATGCAACTCCGGTTTTCAGCAGGGAATCGGAATCAACTAATCGATAATGAGAATCGTTGAGAACAATGGTTGCTGAGAGAGCAGCTGTCAGTCTACCGGCAGGAGCCATCCCACAAGCCAATGAGAGTTACATGGGACAGCTTCCAGAGGAGAAGGGAGGAAGTGAACTGCTTCCTCACAGGGGAATGGCAGAGAGTGGCAACGCTATTGCAGCCAGTCCTCCTATCTGCTGCACCACACTCTGCCGTTCCCCAAGGAAGTCTATTGAAATGGCAGGACCAACAAGGTCTGAAAATATACATGATAGAACGCTGATGCACACAACAGATTTAGAGATGATGACCGCAACAAGTTTTCAAGAAGAACTCTGGGGAAAATGATTATTAACCCTTGCTGTGGGGCTACTCCTGCACTGCAAGGATCAAGTGCTCATTTGTGGAGGAAGATGAAAATGTTCTACTCGCCTGATCCTCTGAGCCGGCTTGCTTTTAAAGGAGAACTATGAGGCGAGTGATCTTCACTCAGCCTCATAATCTGAGCCGACGTGCGACAATGAAACTGTCACAGGTCGGCTCAGTAGATCGGGAAGTGAGCGAACATATACCGTCGCTCGCTCACTTCTCGATCTATCCCTGCACGGCTCCCTGCAGGGATTCCTCCCTCCCCTGTCCGATCCTCCAGCGCTGACTGGCGGAAGGGGCGGGGACAGCTGGCTCTGCCTCTGGATAGGCCGAGCCAGCTGTCACTCACGCAGCTGGGTGGGTCCAGACAGTACTGTCGGGATCCGTCCCGGCTGCGGCGTCTCACAGCTCGCGGTATACTGAGCTTTGGGTGACAGGAGGACGCTAGTTTGTGTTCTCCCGTGACACTTAGGAGAACTATGGGGAAAAGCCCTGACCCCATAGTTCTCTTTTAAGCTGGCCATACACCTATAGATTATCTGCAGCTTTTCTATGGTCCAATGGGAAAAGTGCAACAGATTCCTCCATCTACGCTAAACTATGTGGGTGGAGGGATCTCCCACTGGGCCAAGCTTCAGTACCTTGCTATTGGGCCCCGCTGGCTCTCAAAATACCTGAACAATGCCTGCATCCAATCAGATTGTTCAGATGTTTTGAGAGCCAGCGGGGCCGACTAGCAAGATACTGATTCCTCCACCCGCACAGTTTAGCGTAGATGGAGGAGTCTGTTGTACTTTTTCCATCTGACCACAGAAAATCTGCAGATAATCTATAGAGCCCCACTGCAACGGTTAATAACTACTTTCCCTAAAGTCCGGCTTTAAACTCTCTTTACGGTTACATTTAGCTTACTTATGAGAAGAAAAATGATGCTGCCTTCAAGTGTTACCTTACAAATGGTAAATCTATGTTTTGTAAACGGAAAACAAACTCCGATTTCCAGACCAGAGAGTTCACGTAGTTCATAGGGTGGTCACATGGGATTTCCAACACGGAAACTTGTATTGATCATTTGTACGATGGCCGGAGACCATGGGGAATAAAAGTGGCCCCCCTCCAGAAGGAAGGACAGTGTCAGCATAAATTCAGAGATGATTTAAAGTGATATTAAAGCCATTTTTTTTCCATTTCTCCTTTAACCGCTTCAAGACCAGGTGTTTAGACCCCCTTCCTGGCCAGGCCATTTTTCAGTATTCAGCGCTGCGGTACTTTGACTGACGTTTATTCCGTCATACAACGCTGTACCGAAATGAATGTTATACCATTTTTTGGGGACACATAGAGCTTTCTTTTGGTGGTATTTAATCACCACTGGGGTTTTTATTTTTTATTATAATTAGAAAAAATTACAGAAAATGTTGAAAACAAAAAGTTTTTTTTTACATTATGTTATGAAACATTTACTATTAACCAGTTTTTTGGTAAAATATAAAAGATCGGGTCACGTCAGGTAACTATACACCAAACATGTCAAGCTTTAAAATTGGCCATAGACGACACTTTAAAAGCTTTTACCGCTCATCAGTTTAGTGTTATCAGTGATTGATGGCCCTAAAATGATTGCTCTCACTCCGACTTTCGCGGCGATATATGTAACATGTGCGGCGTAATGGGCGCAATCGTCTTTTTTGCACATCCTGCACGGGTGCCACCATCGTTCCAATGGAGGCACCCATGCGCACTCGTCCCTGCAGCGGCTGTGTGCGTCCATAGACACACACGCCCCTTCCCTCTTTGATGGCAGAAAGAGGCTATGGCTCCTCTGCCATCAGTATCCTCCCCCGCAACCC